ATGAAATGATTAGTGGGACTTGAATGATGCTATCATTTTAGAATTTCGATCTTTACATTTAAGCATCGTTTTGTTTATGCTAGTTTTGCTTTATGTACTAAAAAACAAATTGAGGGCGATTTGAAGTTTTTTGTTGATTGCATTTTGTTTATTCGTTTTTGGAGAATTACAAATTTTGTCCATGATATTTTGTATTTAGCTTCTACCTTTGAATCTATTAGTTTTAGTGTGGTTCGGCAGAAGGCTAACTTTGTCGTCTATCATTAGTTAATTATGATCACTCTATCCCTTCATATGTAATTTGGATTTTACATCCCCCTCATGCTAGACATGCAATGTTGTATAATTCTTTTTGCACTGGTGACCCTTGTGGCTCTGGTTTACTGTGGCAACTACTGTTTATATAAATTTGTCACGTTTACATGTAATACGCTTTTGCCTCGTTAGTTATCATGTATTTTTTTTTCTTTTTTTTTACATAAACACTTATTATTGATAAGGAACACATGAAAGAAAATAAAAATTTTGAGTGTTGTGTATTATCAGTCATTCATCAACGTAGATTATACCGCAGACAAATACAATAACAAAATAGTTAGTGACAATGATTCAATGCATGTAGATGACTTTACATTTCCAACTGAAATAGGGAGAGTCTTGAATTTACATGTACTTGCTTACATGTAACGTCACGGTCATATGTATTTCTTCTAAATATATTATTTTTTAAATGTTCTTCATTCTAAACATGTTCAATTGTTTATGATTTTCTATTCATGAAGTAAGAAATGAAGTGAAGTGCCGCCTAAACAGATAAAGGTCCAAAACATCAAAAAGCAGAAGCAGCTCTACTCCTACTTATGAAAACAGTGATTTTCTTTCACATCACTGCAATCCCAAACTAGTCCTGAACTCAATGTAGATGGTTGCAGAAAAGACCCTCTTAATTTCATTGAAGCAAGTGGTGATCTTAGGAACTCTTTTGGAGCTTGGGATGCTAGGTTTTTAATCTTGGGCATGGAGAGATTCTCAACACTAAAATTTGGGGTATCCTTTTGGGATTACAACTTGCTTGAATAAAGGTGTTCAATGTCTTTTCTTGGAGTTTGATTCTGCAATTTATGTCCAACTTATATCACATGGTGTCACTGATAGTCATCATAATGGTGAATAGATTCAAGCTTGTCGTGTGATATTACTGCGTGCCTAGGAATGTAATATACGATATATCTATCGTAAGATGAATTTTATTGCTAATGAGTTGGCAAACCTGAGCCTCTCTCACCCTTTGGGTCCGATCTATTTTGAGTAAGCTCCATCTTCTTGTAAGCTATTATTATTGTCTGATATTTCTGGTTTCTCTTGACCTCTCGACATTATTTTATAATTATTTTGTTGGGCCATTAGCCCATTTGGTTAAAAAAAAAAAAAAAAAAAAGAAGAAGAAAAAACTTTCCACGTTGGATAATGTTTTTGTAGTTTTGGGTCATTTTAAGCTCAAGATACCATTTAGAAAGAACCAGAGACAAATTAAACTCATCACTTTGGCACAATTTAAGATGGATTCGGGCATATACAATTTAAATAAATTTTAGGTATTAACTTGAAATATATATAATTATAAGGTAAATTACACTTTACTATCTCAAGTTTGTGGTCGATTTCAATTCCTTACAACATCTTTAAAACATTTCACTTTTATACCTCAAGTACTATTTTATTTTAATATAATACATCCGTTACATTTTTCATCAATTGATCCGTTAAAGGCTGACGTAGCTGCCACATTTGTGTCACGTGTTAGCCAAATGTGTGCCATGTGGCAAAAAAAAAATTTAATTTTTTTTTAAACTTGAATCTTCCCAAAAAAAAAAAAAAAAAAAAAAAAAGAAAACGCAAAACCCACCCTCACTTGCCCTGCAACCCCTCCCCACCCCTCTTCTCCCTCCCAAGCCTCCCAACCACCTCCCTCCCTCTCCTCTACCCAAGCTGCCACCGACCCACTAACCCCAACAACCACCGCAAAATCCATTATTCCCGTATGGAATGACATTATCTCATTCTCCTCTTTAGCTGACAATATTTCAGAAATCGGTTACCGACCTGTATATCCTTAAGAAGTAAAGATCAGTGAGCGAGAAATCGGCCGGGTCGTTTTCGAATTTCTCGCGGCAGAGCCTGGACGTTCGTTTCGGTTCAAGAATCGAGTTTTGGAGCCATGTAGCCGTGGATCGTCATCGGAGGAACTCAAAGTCTTCGTCGTCGTTGTCGTGCTCTTCTCCGGAAAGGTTCTTCGATATGTCGTCGAGGTCCGAAATCCCAAAATGGGTGGACAAGTACATTGATCAAATTGGGTCGGCTTTGAGACATGGCAAGTGGAATGATACGATGGAGGGGTCCTGTACACTGCTACAACGGAGGAGGAAGACAACGGTGGTGCTGCATAGGCTCCGACTTGAATAGATCCATCGGAGGACAACACTCTCCCATTCTTTCTCTATCTTCTCTCTCCTCTCTCTCGATAGTGTGTTCTGTGTCTGTGTTGGTGTAAACATGTGATTGCAGACAGTCAGGGAAGGTGGGGGTGGGGTGGGGTGGGTTTTTGGATATGAGGGGAGGTGAAGAGAGTGGAGGAGATGGAGGTGGTTGGGAGGCTCGGGAGGGAGAAGAGGGGTGGGGGAGGGGTTGCGGTGGAGGTGGGGGTGGGTTCTGCGTTTTTAGTTTTTTTTTTTTTTTAGAAGATTTAGTTTAAAAAAAAATTAAAATGCCAATAGCATAAATGTGGCAGCCACATCAGCTTTTAACGGATCAATGAATGAAAAATGTAACGGATGTATTATATTGAAATAAAATAGTACTTGAGGTATGAAAGTGAAATGTTTTAAAGATATTGTGAGGAATTAAAATCGACTCCAAACTTGAAGTGGTAAAGTGTAATTTACCCAAAATTATATACATCTTAAGCACCCAACCGAAAGGGGAAGAAGCTGCAATAGGGTCCATATTTTTCATGGATTAGTTGGTGCTTTCTCTCACTTAATGTATGGCTTATACATCTTTTACTTAATTAAGAACCTTGTTTTCTAAGAAAATAATTGATGTGCACGTTCTGATATATTTATTTTTATCTTCTAATCTCATAAATATGAAGCACATATTAAATTATTAATTAATTAAATAAGACTACCCTAGTTTAATAACAAAAACAATAAAAATTGTCTCACCTTCTAAACAAATTACACGTGCACTCATAAAGATGCAGAACACTGCTGCTGAAAATATGTGCAAATTTCAAATGCTTATTCACAGCCTTAAAACTTATAAAAATGGAATATTTATAGATAATGTTAGAGAGATTAAATTTACAGATAAAATTTGTAAAGTAAATGACATGAAATCTAAAGATTAGATTATTATTTAAGAGTTAATTAACGTACTTGTTTTCTATTGGTAACATATAATTTAATTTGTAAATTTATCGACAAATTTAATTTCTCTAAAATTACTCTTTGTAAGGTTATTAAGGCCACGTATGTCGTATATTATTATATTAACACAGTCCCGCTTAGTAATCATAATGTCATGCCAAGTTGTATTTTATTCATTTTTTGGTGACTTTTTCTTGGTGGGATGTGATATCCACACACCTATTTTTACTTATCTCACACCCTTTTAATTTTCGGCCATTATATCAGATGAATTGAAGAAGATCAAATGATAGAAATTAACAAAGGGTGTAGGAGAAGTAAAAAAGGGTATGTAGATAGCACACTCCTTTCTTGGTTTGGCATGAAATGATTAGTGGGACTTGAATGATGCTATATTTTAGAATTTCGACCTTTACATTTAAGCATCGCTTTGTTTATGTCTAGTTTTGTAGTTGGGTGTTAGCCTAACTTATGTACTAAAAAAAAAAAAAAATATTGAGGGTGATCTGAAGTTTTTTATTGATTGCATTTTGTTTATTCATTTTTGGAGAATTAAAATTTTTGTTTGTGATATTTTGTATTTAGCTTCTACCTCTGAATCTATTAGTTTTAGTGAGGTTCGGCAGAAGGTTAACTTTGTCGCCTATCATTAGTCAATTATGAACACTCTATCCCTTCGTATGTAGTTTGGATTTGTACACCCCCCTCATGCTAGACATGCAATATTGTATAATGCTTTTTGCACCGGTGACACTTGAGGCTCTATTCGATTTTGGCAACTATTGTTTATATAAATTTGTCACATTCTCGGTTCATCTGTATTACATAAACACACATTATTAATAAGAAACACATAAAAGAAAATAAAAATATTTGGCGTTTAGTATTATCAGTCATTCATCTACGTAGATTACACCGTAAATATCGGATACAATAACAGAATAATTAGTGACAATGATTCAATGCATGTAGATGACTATTGAAAGTAAATTCCCTCCACCTAAAACTACAAGGATAAAGTAATACCTTACATTTTCAACTGAAATTAGGAGAGTCTTGAATTAGTAAATATACACGCTTACACATAACTAGGTAATAATATCAAGTAACGGTCATATGTATTTTTTCTAAATATATTATTTTTTAAATGTTCTTCATTCTAAACATGTTCAATTGTTTATGATTTTCTATTCATGAAATAAGAAATGAAGTGAAGTGCCGCCTACAGATAAAGGTCACTGATTCAATTATGACAGCCACATGATAATCACAGTGATTAGTAGTTAATTAGTCCCTTAATTAGTGGATTATAATCATAAGCCACACCCACTGCTCTTCCTTTCTCCTTCCCAATATTACCAGGTGACGACTGTTGCACGACGGTCACGCACACTCAAAGTAACCCACACGCCAGAGCAGAGCACATGGCCCACCCCCAGCCATACCACCACTCACGGGCCAGATTCCAGTGGGACCCACTCACAACGTCACAGGCGGTGACTCTATCGAATATACCCTCGCAACCGAAACAGAAGCTCTTCCCAATTAAAGGCTATAAAACGCCTTCAAATATATAGACCCAATCGGCATTTTCTCTCTCTAAGAACAACACCCGCGTCCTCTCCCTTTCTCTCTCTAAAGCGCCTCCATGGGCTTCCCAGTGGGATACACAGAGGTCTTCGTCTTCCCCAACCTCTTCCTCCACACACTCTCTCTCCTCGGCTTCATCCGAAGCCTCATTTTCTCGCTCTTCCACTTTCTGGGTCTCTCCGAATTTCTCGAAACCGACGACATCGTTTGGCCGGAGTCCGGATCCCACCCGCCTGAAAACCCATCCGCGTCGGCCCTCCTGATCAAGGAATTTCTCCCCGTCATCAAATTCCGCGACGTCGCCGGGGACCCTGCGGAGAGTTGCGCCGTCTGCCTGTACGAGTTCGAGGTGGAGGACGAGATCAGGTGTTTGACGAATTGCAAGCACATTTTTCACCGGGCGTGTTTGGACCGTTGGATGGACCACGATCAGAAGACGTGCCCGCTTTGTAGGACGGCGTTCGTGCCCGATGAGATGAGCGATGAGTTTTATCAACGGCTCTTTGCCGCCTCTGAGATTGACCATGATTATTACAGTGAGTACAGTTCGGTTTGAGGAAGCTGGAATTGGTGGGTTTTTTTGTTTACCTTGTAATCGGTAAAATTTCAGCATAAAATGTAAATACACATGAAATTTTGGTGCCAAATTTGAAGAAGCAAAAGAAAAAATAGGGAAAAGAGAGAAGATTTTGGATCATTTCTCTCTTTTGTTTTTGTATATTTTGATATTGAAATACAAATGCTACGTGATTCTCCTTCTTATCATCTATACATATACGTTTATCTTACACTGCCCATTTTAAGTAATTCTATACTCAGATAGTCGACGCCCGACAAATCTATCTTTGTAATTCTTTACTCAGCAATTTGCTGGTATATTTTATGGGATTTTTTGTTAATGATTTCGCTTTAGAGTCAAGTCAATGACTTTAGGAAATGTGTTGGTGGGAAATTTTTATATTCTTTTTTAATATTTAAAAAGAAAGGGAAGTATAAAGGTGGGGTTTTGGCCTTTTTGGGTGTAATATGCCAATTGCAGATTAGAAGGGGAAATCTTTGCTAGGAATTTCGGGAATTCTGTGATCGTGATCGTTTATCGTACATCATGTTATCAATTTTCATTAGGTACTATTTATATTTCATTTTAAATTTTAAATTTTAAATTTTAAAATGATTTCTAATCACACGATGTACAATGAACAGACACAATCACAAAGTCTCCAGGGATCCCCAAGAAAAAGATCCAGTTAGGATCCTTTTCCGATTAGAAGAATGGAGAGGCAGTATTGCTTGGGTTTTATGTTAATTTTCCACCCAAACTCTAATTTTTAGTGCAGGTATGTCGTCTCTGTCAATTTTCATTGAAAATTGTATCAAAAAAACTCATCACGTATTGCGCACTTGATCAATTTTTGTGCATGTTTTAATCACTCTAAGACCTCTAGGTGAACTGGGATCAAAATTTCGTTGACTACACCTTGTCTTTGAAGAGGCTGACTACGTGTTCTACGGGCTTTAGTGAACTGAATTCTTACTCAAAGTCCCTATGAGAGGGCGTTTGTTTGCCCTCACTAAGTAAGATTGGACTGAACTGGACTAATAGTTAGTCTAGTATAGTCTAATGTTTGTTATCATGCGGGACTAGTCTTAATGAGACTAGCCCGGACTCGCCTACACTAAAGGCTTCACTAAGAGGTCTTAGTGAGACCCCCCAAAACCACGAGATTGCTAGTCTCGTCTCCCTCTTTTGCAAGCAACGTCGCTCAAACCCGCATGAGCAGCATCAGCCCTCCTTCGTCCCATAAACCCAGTGCCCTTTTGGCATCTGGGTCGGTGATTTGGTGTCTTTTCCATCTGGGTCTACATGAACGACGGCAAAAACGAGTCTCATGGTGATCCAGATTCTTCCGCCGACAGCAAGATTGAAAACTTTAGCATTGGTGCAGTGACTCAGAGTGATTTTTCTTGACCAACTGTGATTTGCCCAGAAAATACAGGAACCAAATTTGAAGAAAAAAGAAAAAAGAAATACAAAGAGAGCGATGGGAGAGGGGACATTATACAGAGGTGAAACGAGAGAAACAAAAGGAAGTGGAGGGAGACACTGGTAACAAAAAAGAAGGTGCAAAGATGGGGAGGAAAGGGAAATGGGAGGGAGAGGCGGAGGGACAAAAATGGGGAAAAAGGGAAAGGGGCAGAAAACAAAATTTTGAAATATCCATTAAAACCCATGAAGGTTTAAGCACAAAATCTAAAATAAAATTGATAAGAGATAGATTAATAATTGAAGAGCAAAGATTGATGAACAATTAGGAGTTACCCACGAGAGAGAAGGCTTTGCGAGATGGACTGCTGCTTTGTTTTCTCAGCGTGGAATGTCAGTTTGCTTAAGTGGGTTTATGGACGAGATCTTTCCAAAATGAAGAAGAGGATTCTAGAAATAAAAAGAAAAAGAAAAAGTAATAATAAAATATTAATTGATATATAGTAAATTAATATAAAATAATATAAAATTATAGTCCTGCTTCTTAGTCCAACGCTGCATCAAACATTTCACTAAATCAGTCCAGCTTAGTCTAGTTTAAGCCAGTCTAGCTTAGTCCCTGAAGCTAGTCCAGTCTGAGATAGTTTGGTGCAACAAACGCATCCTCTAGGTCTTTAAGTGAAAATATACCTTTGAAAAAAGTCTTACATTTGTGCACACTTTTAATAATTCAGGTGGTTATTATGCAATTTTCATTTTTATGTTTTAGTTGACGTTTTTAAAGTGTCAATATATATATATATATATATATATATTTTTTAGTAAATGATGTTGTCTACACTGTGAAAGTGGATTAAGTCTCACAATGAGCTAGTTATAATGTTGTTCAAATTTTCCTTTGACGATAATCGAACCTGAGACCTATAACTTACAAGTGAAGAAAAATACCACTAACTGTAGTACTAACTGACAATAAAATGTTTCTTTACTTTGTATAATTATGCGGTAGCGATTGAATGTAGGGAGCATGGACGTTTTGTTGATATTGTTCGTCGGCAGCTGGTAAGACGGCCAATCGATTTATCCGGATCTAGTCAAAGCCAGTGGTGGTCAGAGATGCAAGCGGAAAGTTTGTAGCAGCAATGGCACAAAGACTCGCTGGAATTTCTTCGCCACTTCTAGCAGAGATGATGGCAGCTCGGGCTGCCGTGCTGTTTGCGCGCGATTTGGAGGCTGCTTATGTGGAATTTGCAGGGGATGCACAGACGGTGATCGCTGCACTTCAACAAAATTCTGCGGACGATATGTCTCCGCTGGGGCATGTTATTAATGATGCTAGACATTTTCTGTACTCAATTCCCCACTCGCGACTGTCTTTCACTAAACCGGAGGCTGGCAGGGTTGGACACCGCTTGGCTCGGTTGTGTNGCTCTTC